GAAAAAAAAACGACAGTGTTACCCCTTTCGTTTTTTTTTCGTTTTTTGGGCGAAAAATTAAGTTTCTCCAATCTTCTCAAAACTCTGGATTCTGATAGAGGGCCACGAGACTTTGACCTGAGTGCAAAAATGGAGGCTCTAGACCCTTCCAGAGCTGAGATATCAAAATTCAAAATTTCGACCCGAAAAAAAAACGACAGTGTTACCCCTTTCGTTTTTTTTCATTTTTGGGCGAAAAATTAAGTTTCTCCAATCTTCTCAAAACTCTGGATTATGATAGAGGGCTGTGAGACTTTGACCTGAGTGCAAAAATGGAGGCTCTAGACCCTTCCAGAGCTGAGATATCAAAATTCAAAATTTCGACCCGAAAAAAAAAACGACAGTGTTACCCCTTTCGTTTTTTTTCATTTTTGGGCGAAAAATTAAGTTTCTCCAATCTTCTCAAAACTCTGGATTATGATAGAGGGCCATGAGACTTTGACCTGAGTGCAAAAATGGAGGCTCTAGACCCTTCCAGAGCTGAGATATCAAAATTCAAAATTTCGACCCGAAAAAAAAAACGACAGTGTTACCCCTTTCGTTTTTTTTTCGTTTTCGGGCGAAAAATTAAGTTTCTCCAATCTTCTCAAAACTCTGGATTCTGATAGAGGGCTGTGAGACTTTGACCTGAGTGCAAAAATGGAGGCTCTAGACCCTTCCAGAGCTGAGATATCAAAATTCAAAATTTCGACCCGAAAAAAAAACGACAGTGTTACCCCTTTCGTTTTTTTTCATTTTTGGGCGAAAAATTAAGTTTCTCCAATCTTCTCAAAACTCTGGATTATGATAGAGGGCTGTGAGACTTTGACCTGAGTGCAAAAATGGAGGCTCTAGACCCTTCCAGAGCTGAGATATCAAAATTCAAAATTTCGACCCGAAAAAAAAAACGACAGTGTTACCCCTTTCGTTTTTTTCGTTTTTGGCGAAAAATTAAGTTTCTCCAATCTTCTCAAAACTCTGGATTCTGATAGAGCCATGAGACTTTGACCTGAGTGCAAAAATGGAGGCTCTAGACCCTTCCAGAGCTGAGATATCAAAATTCAAAATTTCGACCCGAAAAAAAAACGACAGTGTTACCCCTTTCGTTTTTTTTTCATTTTTTGGGGAAAAATTAAGTTTCTCCAATCTTCTCAAAACTCTGGATTATGATAGAGGGCCATGAGACTTTGACCTGAGTGCAAAAATGGAGGCTCTAGACCCTTCCAGAGCTGAGATATCAAAATTCAAAATTTCGACCCGAAAAAAAAACGACAGTGTTACCCCTTTCGTTTTTTTTCATTTTTGGGCGAAAAATTAAGTTTCTCCAATCTTCTCAAAACTCTGGATTATGATAGAGGGCTGTGAGACTTTGACCTGAGTGCAAAAATGGAGGCTCTAGACCCTTCCAGAGCTGAGATATCAAAATTCAAAATTTCGACCCGAAAAAAAAACGACAGTGTTACCCCTTTCGTTTTTTTTCGTTTTTGGCGAAAAATTAAGTTTCTCCAATCTTCTCAAAACTCTGTATTCTGATAGAGGGCCATGAGACTTTCACCTGAGTGCAAAAATGGAGGCTCTAGACCCTTCCAGAGCTGAGATATCAAAATTCAAAATTTTGACCCGAAAAAAAAAACGACAGTGTTACCCCTTACGTTTTTTTTCGTTTTCGGGCGAAAAATTAAGTTTCTCCAATCTTCTCAAAACTCTGGATTATGATAGAGGGCTGTGAGACTTTGACCTGAGTGCAAAAATGGAGGCTCTAGACCCTTCCAGAGCTGAGATATCAAAATTCAAAATTTTGACCCGAAAAAAAAACGACAGTGTTACCCCTTTCGTTTTTTTTCATTTTTTGGCGAAAAATTAAGTTTCTCCAATCTTCTCAAAACTCTGGATTATGATAGAGGGCTGTGAGACTTTGACCTGAGTGCAAAAATGGAGGCTCTAGACCCTTCCAGAGCTGAGATATCAAAATTCAAAATTTCGACCCGAAAAAAAAACGACAGTGTTACCCCTTTCGTTTTTTTCGTTTTTTGGCGAAAAATTAAGTTTCTCCAATCTTCTCAAAACTCTGTATTCTGATAGAGGGCCATGAGACTTTCACCTGAGTGCAAAAATGGAGGCTCTAGACCCTTCCAGAGCTGAGATATCAAAATTCAAAATTTCGACCCGAAAAAAAAACGACAGTGTTACCCCTTTCGTTTTTTTTCGTTTTCGGGCGAAAAATTAAGTTTCTCCAATCTTCTCAAAACTCTGGATTATGATAGAGGGCTGTGAGACTTTGACCTGAGTGCAAAAATGGAGGCTCTAGACCCTTCCAGAGCTGAGATATCAAAATTCAAAATTTTGACCCGAAAAAAAAACGACAGTGTTACCCCTTTCGTTTTTTTTTCGTTTTCGGGCGAAAAATTAAGTTTCTCCAATCTTCTCAAAACTCTGGATTCTGATAGAGGGCCATGAGACTTTGACCTGAGTGCAAAAATGGAGGCTCTAGACCCTTCCAGAGCTGAGATATTGAAACTCAAAATTTCGACCCGAAAAAAAAACCGACAGTGTTACCCCTTTCGTTTTTTTTCATTTTTGGGCGAAAAATTAAGTTTCTCCAATCTTCTCAAAACTCTGGATTATGATAGAGGGCTGCGAGACTTTGACCTGAGTGCAAAAATGGAGGCTCTAGACCCTTCCAGAGCTGAGATATCAAAATTCAAAATTTCGACCCGAAAAAAAAAACGACAGTGTTACCCCTTTCGTTTTTTTTCGTTTTCGGGTGAAAAATTAAGTTTCTCCAATCTTCTCAAAACTCTGGATTATGATAGAGGGCTGTGAGACTTTGACCTGAGTGCAAAAGTGGAGGATCTAGACCCCTGAGTGCAAAAAAAAAAAAAAAAAAAAAAAAAAAACGACAGTGTTACTTACCCCTGTCGTTTTTTTTTGTGCGAAAAAATAAGTTTCTCCAATCTTCTTGAAACTGAATTCTGATAGAGGAACATGAGACTTAGACCTGAGTGCAAAAATGGAGGTTCTAGACCCTTCCAGAGCTGAGATATTGAGATATTTATAATGGCATAAATGCTACGTGGTAGGCATAAATGCTACTCTGGAAGGGTCTAGAGCCTCCATTTTTGCACTCAGGTCAAAGTCCCATGGTCCTCTATCAGAATCCAGAGTTTCAAGAAGATCAGAGAAACTCAAAATTTCGACCCAAAAAAAAAAAAAACGACAGTGTTACCCCTGTCGGGTTTTTTTTCGTGCGAAAAAATAAGTTTCTCCAATCTTCTTGAAACTCTGGATTCTGATAGAGGACAATGAGACTTAGACCTGAGTGCAAAAATTGAGGCTCTCTAGACCCTTCAAGAGCTGAGATATTTATAATGGCATAAATGCTACGTGGTATCTCAATATCTCAGCTCTGGAAGGGTCTAGAGCCTCAATTTTTGCACTCAGGTCTAAGTCCCATGGCCCTCTATCAGAATCCAGAGTTTTGAGAAAATCAGAGAAACTCAAAATTTCGACCCCCCCAAAAAACGACAGTGGTACCCCTCTCGTTTCTTTTTTTTTGTGCGAAAAAATACGTTTCTCCAATCTTCTTGAAACTCTGGATTCTGATAGAGGGCCATGGGACTTAGACCTGAGTGCAAAAATGGAGGCTCTATGGCAACCAAACGTCACTGGTGAGACAAACGTGCAACGGATTGACGGTCAGTGGAAAAACTGATAAGAAAATGTAATGAAAATGTAACAAAAGTTGTGAGTAGTGGAGTAGAAAGTATAATAATTGCTGCAAAATGTAACAAAGTAAAAGTAAAAAGTATGCGCTATTTATTCTACTTAAGTAAAGTAAAGATACGTGAAAAATGTACTTAAGTAAAGTAAAAAAGTATTTGTACTTCGTTACATTCCACCACTGGGGTGCACAGTGTTGAAAAGCTTTGAGTAATGAGCCATTTTACGACACAGTTGATGGGAAAACCTTGATGCTTTGCAAAGCTTCATTTCACCATCACTACTTACAATAACCTTTTTAAGAGGTACAAGAAGGATGAGGATGGGTATCTGCAGCTAAATATGGTGTGCTATGAGACGGTAGAGGTTACGGAAGAGTTGATCAAGAACATGGCTGAAAAGCGCACCCCTCGCAAGGTTTCCGCTTCAACCGGCCACTCCAAGGAGCCCATGATGCATCCCGACAGCGGCAACAGCACTACCCAAAACTCGTCGCCACCCTCTTCTCCTTCCTCATCGTCTTCCACCTCAGAGCTCTTGGAGGGGGCTGATAGCAGTGCACTGAAAGGCGATGAAACATCTGTGTATTGTGTGTTGAACACTGTGACTGAGGTGATTGGGGAGCCAGAGGAAGTGTCCCAGCCTGGTGAGCCATCAGTGGCTGTTAGAGCTCTGGCTGCAGTGGCTAGAGGTCTAGGCATGGATGTGGTGTAGTCTCATACTTATCAAATGCAGTTTCATCAGAGATAAGAATACACAATCAGTTTGAGCTCCATTAGATCAATGTTTTTATAAACTAATATGCACAGGTCAGAGGATGATGTTTAGCATTATCATTTGTTTAAAGTTTTACTAGTATTTTAAGGTTGTTTTTTTAAATGATCTCAGGTGTCTAATTCTATTTGTAAAAAAGAAAATTCCAGTCTGGAAACTCCATGTACTGTGCTGTTTTTTTTTTTGTGTGTTTTTTTTTACAAAAAAGAAACGGTTTTACATAAAATGTATCCTCTTTTTTAAAAAATCTGTTTTAAAAGATGTTTGCTTTTATTTTATTTTTACAATAATTTTCCAGGAACAATAGAGTGAGTTTTTGAGCATAAATAGCTAACATTTAATTTATTTGTCTTGATACAATATTTGTTGAATATTTTGTATATTGTGCTGTATTATTGTTCCATTGTTGCCTGACTATAGTTGTAAATAGTTGTGTATTTTTAAAAGCCCTTTAGTTTCAAATATATTGTCAAGTAAAACCACTTTTCTCAAAAAAAAATTATTTTAATATTTTCTTTGACAAAAAAATTTCATTTCATAACTTTCCACCACTGTACATTTCATGACTAAACTTTTTCACATCAAGTGCTTGATATACACGAGTCTGTCAGTTCCTGATGCAGTCCAGCTTACCGAGTATCAGTGTCTCTGTGTGGATGCAAAACAGTTCTATCCATAATAGGGGTCATTCGTCTAGGAGACCCTGATCTTGCCAGCAGCATTGGGAAAAGTGGGTGTGGTTGGGTGTGACAATAGGCAGCAGGTAGAGTCCTACTGAGCGAGTTGTAATGTGGGAGCCCTGCGCTGGGGTAAGATGCCGTAAGGAGTCCTTGATGCGGCAAGTGAGGGTCCAGTGGGGCATGGTGCATGGCCAGTAGGCGACCCCGCTCGCTCTCCTCTCTCAGGAGGGTCAGGCGGTGACGCTCCTCCAGCTGACTCCTTTGCTCCAGGGCCATGGACTGCAGAAACGGATCTCGTGGGTAAGCAGGGTGCCCCATCATGGTGCGTTGCAGGTGGTCATTTCTCATTAAGATGTCCTTGCCCAAAGAGTCCCTACGAGGAAGGTCTAACCCCCGATAAACATTACGCATGGATTCCCAATGTTGAGGCGAGTAGGGAAGCTTTTCGGCTCCAGGTAATGGACTCATTCCAAGAAAAGGTGAGATCAGCCTAGCCCTGTCGAGACCAGGGTGGCCAGCTGGTATTCCTATTGGCAAATGATGAGTAGAAAGAGGTGAAAGGTTTAAAGCAAGGGCTCTGGGACCCTGCCATGGTTTTTCCAAGACCTTCTGCTGAATTGAAGCCCAGTGGTCCTGGTCGTCTCTCTTCTCCTCCTTGACCCTCACCTTGCTGTTCTTGGAATAAGGGGGTTCATACTCAACTCTAATTTTCTTCTCAGCTGGCTCCCAGGGTTGGCTATCACTATTTGACCGCTTGAGATCCTCTCTCTGTTGTTTGGGTGATGATCTCTCCTTTACTGCTTGCTTGTCCTCAGCGGGCTGCTGCTCACTCTTGACATCCTCTTCTCTTTTGTCACTTTGGATCTCTTTGTGTTTCTGCTCCTCATTCTGCTCCTGGGCTTGTGTTTTCTCTCTCACGCGCTCCTCTTCCTTGGAATCATCTGGAGAGGAACCTATGAAGGACTCTGTTGATGGTTTGTCGTCAAGTGTGCTGTTTCCGATGGGGGACAAATGCCTTCCATTTGATTTCTCTTTTGGCTCCCTGCAATGATTGAAACAAAAGATTTGAGTTTTGAGCAAGAAGTCTTGATTGGGTTTCCAATCCTGCTCCTGGAGGGCCAATGTCCGGCAGAGTCCGGAAATTTCTTGTAATCATAAAGACCTTGATAAGATGGTTCAAGTCTGTTTTAATGGTCTTAAAACTAGACCGTGGCCCTTCAGGTGCAGAATTGGACACCCCTGGTTTAGGCAGTTAGTGCCTGATATACCGTTAAATGGCCCAGACTCCAACATAGCGTCATCCCACTGGGCGACACGATGTTGCTGTCTGGGGGTTGAAAAACATTAAGGAGAGCAAACAGTTTATTAGCATTCCCAGTGACAGCTTGGCTAGTGTAGAACTCCTCAGAAGTACCCAATTTCTGAAATCTTTCCAGACGCCTATGAAGCAAATATGGCCTCAACTTGTTGACCAAATTTTAAGGATGTTTTCGATAACTGAGCATCTATCATTGAGGTCAACTGGAATGCTAGCAGATAATGTTCTGCAAGTACCTTCTTGCTCTTGGCATACTGGCAAAATAGCTGGTACGTACCTTTCCTGATCATCTTTGTTGATTATGGAGTCTTTTTTAATCGCTGTTCTGTCTGGTACAGAGGGAGCTCTTTCAGGTTCAGATGGCCTTTGACATAGAGGGGGTGTTGGGAAGGATGAAGGTGTCTGGTGCAGTCTGTTCCAGGGCTCCAGTGGTCCACTTGAAGTTGACACCATTTTTCCATCTTTAGTACCATGCGTTGGATTTGGTGCTATAAATGTCAGAGAGTAATTTTTGTCAATCATGGAAAGTCTAATTTTTCACCTGCAGCAGTTGCAGATCCTTTATTGTAAGGATAAATTAATGTCCTTACTTATTGATGGGTTTCCAAGCCCTCCAAAGGCAGATGAACTCAATGTACTTAGGCCTCCAAAGGTGAGTGGCTTATTAAGAGACTCTACACAACAAGAGGTACGTGGGTTTAGATTTTTGAGCAGTAATGCTGATCTATTATGAATTCAAGTCTCTAGATAGTAAATGTAATCTTACCATGATGGGGGACTAGACTGTGGAGATTGTTTGGGGTGTGCGGCAAGGATCCAAAGGGTGAAACGGAAGGTTGTTTGGGACCTAACAAGATAGATGCAGATGAAACTGGATGAGCACAGTCCTGTTTCTGTCAGACATTGTTTTATAACTCTTATAACATTAATGTTTTCTATTATTACAGGACACTGCTCACTGAGATCATGGGCATTCATTTATTTTGCAGCTTTGTCCATTTGATCTAATACGATTCTAGTGGTTTTGCTAAGACATGTTTCTGGATTATCTTTTTACTTCCAAAATATCTGGACGTAGTGCTTCTAGTAATCATGATTTGCTGGTCAGGTGTGTTTAATAGGGTTAGATCTGAACTCTGGAGGATAGTGGCTTTCCAGGAGCAGGATTGGACACCCCTGCCCTAAACTTAACCCCTAAAATCAGTGGGAAGTAACTGGATTATAATATTGACCTAGTGCCAATAATCTAATTGGTTTACAAGGATGTTGTTCCAGGATCAACAAGATAGTGATCCAAGAACATTCTACCTGGCAAAATGGTGTTAGGGGGTGGTGATGGCGCAGTGGATAAGACACATGCCTTTGGTGTGAGATACCTGGGTTCGAATCCACTGTGAGACACTAACGTGTCCATGAGCAAGACACTTAACCCCTAGTTGCTCCAGAGGCGTACTGACATATATAGCAATTGTAAGTCGCTTTGGATAAAAGCGTCAGCTAAATGAATAAATGTAAAAAAAGTACATGTAAAATTACAGTCACTCATATGGATATGTTCCTACCTGCATTAGAGAGGATTGTGGAGGGGCGGGGTAAATCACGTGGCTGCAATCCCATGAGGCTCGAGCCAGACGATCGATTAAAAAAATCAGGCTTAAATCCAAAGTCTAATTTATGTGGCTCAATCTGCATCTGCTTCTGTAACACAGAGGAATGGATAAATGGTTATAGATTAAATACGAGTTTAAAACTTAATATATTACATATCTTGACAGTGAACAATTATTTGATTTGAACTTACCTTAATTTTTTGTTGGTGATGGTAAACCTGCCATGCAATGTGGACATGCATTGCACACCACTTCCCAGATTTCTGAAGTAAATAAAAAACAATGTGATAATAATAATAACGGGTAAAGCATTTTGTTCCTGGTTTACAAGGTTAACAAAGAGCTCAACAATCACATGCAAACCTTACCTTTGGTTTAGGACACATGGGGTCTAGAAGCTGGAAAATACACAATAATACAATACATTATTCTTTTTATATTTCCACTGATAGACAGAACAGCAATAAATATTTTATGAGACACCTGAACATATCTGGCTCAGATTTGTGGTCCTTTATAGTGAAGCCATGCAAAGGATGATAAATTGAAACTTACTCTGGAGTCCCTCTGTAGAAGTTGGTGTGGCACTGATCCTGGTCTTGAGACCACATCTAGCGCGTTGGAAGCCTGCAGATACAAAAACTTTGTGAATACTGAGTCCATTTTTAATTAAATTATAAACATGATTATGAATCCATAGGATTCCCTGCTCTTCCTCAGCACACTTTATCTCTTATGTAAGTAATTTAAATATCCAAGTGTGGCTAGACTGGAATCCAATTGTATTTTTTTAACATATTTTTTTTTATTTCTGGCCTTTGAAAACAGGTTTTGTAGATGTGGGGGTGAAAATAAACAGTTTGCAGAATCTCATCTGAAAAAGCCATAGAAAACCATGAGACTTTTTTTTTCTTCTCATCATCTCAACTTAAGAAATATCAAGTTATTCACGGGCTTCTTTTAGTGTCAAGGCCTTTTGAGAATGCAGTGTTTCAAACAAAACAGACAGCTAAGTGCCAGAGTGGCAGGCAAACCTTGGGCTGAAAAGCTCCCTGGAGAGAGCTGAATGGTCCAGCAGGTGGAACCATAGGAGGTATTCCAGTCATTACTGACGGATACGACGGGACCAACTGTAGGGAAACGACAGAAAAATGCCATTAATGTCAGGAATCAAAAGACTGTTCATGCTGATTCAGGACATAAAAGCATTTATTTTTATGGCTTTTGAAGTAAATCAAAATGTCCTATTTAAAACCCTATTGAAGTTCTGCACATTCCTGAAATTATTATTAAAATTATAATTAATTATACAATTTACTGGTATGTTAAGGAACATTTTTTTGTTGTAATTTTTAATCAAAATGTGGACATGCATTCGAGTTTCGCCTGATAATAAACAGCAGCAAAATTGAATAAAGATAGAAATTATTCATGCTAAACTATGTAAACTACTTCTGGAATGAATCACTAAAAAGACCATGCCACTCAAATCAGAGGTCATTTATTCTTTCCCTAACAGAGGTTGCCAATCACCACCAGTGATTTTGATCTTTTTTTTTTTTTTTTTAAATGTATTGTACCCCAGAATACTTTGTTGTATGAATATCTGCATGCTTACGAACAACAATGTGCATTAACAATGTTTTTAATCGCTTGTTTTTGCATGCGTTTTAATCCGGAGATTCTGTATTCTTTCTAACCGGATAACCCCCTGTAGTGTACACCAGTGAAAACACGGAAAGCCGGAAAATTACATCAATGGCAGGGAAAGAGTCAAGTGCTCAGAATTTATATCTCGTCTAACTTACATTGTGTCTATGAAAGGTGTCCATTTTAGCAGGGTATTTGTCAAACTGTAAGAAAAGAGGGGGAAAATATATTTAGAATTTCATATTGTAGAATTTCATCTCAAATAATTGATTATGAACATAAGTGATGTATCAGTATTTCTCCTCACTTGTCTGGCAGGGGTACGCACCAGTGGTGCTGATGGGCTGGGCATGATGGAGTTGGGGAACGGAGTGAAGGTGTGCTGATGTGTGTGTTGGTGTGTGTGCTGGTGCTGGTGGAACTCAGTGCGCAGGTAGGCCTGGGAAGCTAGTCCTCCTCCTCGATCAACAGTCTGGGAGGCCAGGAACCGAGAGTTTAACTCCTGTCGCAGCAGGTCGTGGTCTAGAAGGTGCGCAGGAGAAACAGTGAATCTGCAAGAAAGATTTAAGTTACATTTTGATGGTGCGGTCTGTCTGGTGCTTCTTTACCTGTGTAGGGACCTGTGGATGGTGCACTGGGCACTGGCAGAGCGCTTCCTGTTAAGAGGGGAGGAGGAGGAGGCAGGGCTGTCGTTGGGGCAAACATATTGAGGTGTTTGGAGAACGGGATGATTATAACGCTCCTCTTCAACTTGTGCTGATACACTCAAAGTGCACAAGAGTATGTATAAACTGCTTTGGAAGCTGAAAGATGTTTTACTTCAGTCTTTCTCAGGGTTCTTAAATATCTCCTTGTGGCTTTCTTCCTGCTGTTTTCTGATCACGCATTTGTGGTATTAGCAACATCAGCAGGACCTGCAGGTCATAAAATATCGAGTCAACACATTGGATACCGGACCAGCCAAGACAAGCAAAATAATAATTGGAGAATCCATCAAGAACATCAATAAATAATAATCAAGCAAAACTAGATTTTTAAATTGCTTTTCCCAGAAAAAACACTATAGTTTTCAAGGGCCAAGTCAAAAAAGCCTGAACATGAGTTCCTAAACATGACTTGTGTACCTCCTTCAGAGTAAGTCATGACAAGTTTTTACCTGTTTTATCATTCTTTAATTCATCTTTAATATATATATATAACTGATTATGGTTAAACTAAAGCACATACTTTACAACATTGGATATGACAGGTCTGTCTAAAGGTAGTGTTAAAAATAAATTACTAATGTGATTTTAATTTCTGGAACCTGACTCTTGTGCCACATTACTTATTAATATTAAAAATAAAATGTTTTTTGAGCAGCAAATTAGCATATAATGATTTCTTAAGGATCGTGTGACAATGAAGACTGGCGTAATGATGCTGAAAATTAAAAATATATTAAAAACAGTTATTGTTAATTGTAATATTATTTCACAATATTACTGTTTTACTATATATACATATTTTTTTTTATCAAATAAATGCAGCCTTACTTGAACAGGAGTGTATAAAGGGTGGCATAGTGCACTATGTAGCAGTAATTGTGTCAATGCAAAGATAACAGTGTACAATGAGGAGAGCAGGAAAGCTTGTAAAATCAATAAATAAGGAGAAAAGGATATCTCTATCTTTACAGCATTAGTCTTTTCACATGCTGTTATAGCACTGGTGACTTTGGTTTCACAGTGACATTTACTGGTCCCTCCCGGGGGTGGGGGTCGCTAATAGTGAATGCAAATGTGATGAAGGGGTGAAATCCCTTAGGGATTCGCCCATCTATACAACCTGCAATTACCTCCTTTTGAACAGCACTCATGCACATAAAGCAAAGCACTAAATCTCTTTTGTGCCGAGCTGTCAATTTGGGCCTTTTCTCCAGTGCTGCTGTATCTATAGTGAAAGGTCTTTTGAGAGCCCCATAATGGATTGTTAGCTTCTCCAAGGGGTAGACCTCCTTTCGAGAACACCAGGGGTACACAGAGGATGGAAACACAAGGAGCAACTTATTCGCCTGAGCTGAGCTCCAAATCCCTTGTGATGAGCTGTTTGTATTGAATAGGGTGACACACCCGCAGGGGTCATTCAAACGTTGGGAACAGTAAATGTGTGTGGAGAAACAAACTAAATGTAAACTGTTTGACATCTGAAAATATAAGGTGTTTAAACGTGCTTCCAGAATGCAATTTCATATGCTCTTAAAATAAAGAATAGAGTTTTTGCAGTCATGCAATAAAATAACCACACTGGCTTCCCCAAATAACCTTGCAGTTAAAAGTTCTTAAAGGGTCAGTTCACACACCCTCATGTCGTTCCAAACCCCTTCGTTCCAAAATTCATTCATCTTCAGAACCCAAATGAAGATCATTTTTGATGAAATCTGAGAGCTTTCTGGCCCTCTGTTGACAGCTACGCAACTACACGTTGACACTTTGTATTAATTGAATATGAATTGAGTCCTTTAATCCAAATTTTCTGAATCTCTTTATAAGATGAACAGACTGAATTTAGGCTTTTATTCACATAAAAACTTTCATTAACACATATCAGTTGTGGTAAACAGAAGCTCAAGAATGTTTGCTTGACGTGCAAGAACCAATGAAGTTCATTCTCATCTGTTACGCTGCTCGTTTGAGCTTCCACAAGGACCAATGAGGTTTGTTCTTGGGGGTCAAGCGAGAAGATTCGGTTGAGCTTCGGTTTAGCCTACATTTAATCTGTTCATCATATAAAGTGATTGTGTCGTTTCAGAAACTTTGGACTAACCACTCTCTTCATATGGATTAGTTTTACTGTCAAAGTGGTAGTTGCGTAGCTGTCAATGGAGGGACAGAAAGCTCTCAGATTTCATCAAAAAGACCTTCATTTGAATTCCAAAGATAAACAAAAGTCTTAGGGGTTTGGAACGACATGAGGGGGAGTAATTAATAAAAGAATTAGCATTTTTTTTGGTGAACAATCCCATTTAAAAAGTAAAAAGAACTATTTCACTAATCGAAATAACCGTTTTTCACTATAAAGAATCTTTTGTACAATGGAAATGTCCCGTGGACGTTAAAGGTTCTTCATTGAACCATCAATGCCAGTAAGGAACCTTTATTTTTAAGAGTGTAAAGTGCCAGACCAGCATGTCAATCCTAAATGCGATGAATGGGAGAAATGCTGGAGGAGACCATAAGTCTCTCGAGAGGAGAACAGACTGTCTCCATCTAGTCCGTAATGAGTGGTACAAGCCACATGGCACAGCTCAGTAGCTGGACTGGCTACAGACTAATCAAGTAAAGCTAAATAATAAGCAAGCACAGAGAGTCCTTAATAGACCCTTGGATCATAATGGCACTGGTGTTTAAATCTAATTTGCATCTAGTTAAATGAAAGAACAGTGTGTGCTGATGTACCCTTCCATAAAACAAAGCAATAACGAGCGGTAAATATAAAAGAAAATATTTGCCTCGTGAATATGACTCGGTTAGATTAAACTGCTTGTTTTCAATTAGTGTCATGGCACGGTAATGCTCTATTTTGATGCAGGTCAGGAATTAAACTAAGCCTCTTTTTGGAGCTGTCAGGCCACCAGCAAATTTGTCTTCCTGTGTCAGTTGGCAGCTCCCTTCCCAAAGCCATTTTTGTCATTCATCAAGCCCATTACTGGCCTAACCCTACCAGGCATGCAGAAACGAATGGTCTAATCCCTTCATTCTCACAAAGACAAGATTAGCTGGAGGTTAAACTCTCGTGTTCTTTAAATTTTGTCCTTGACAGGGTGCCAGGGGAAAGCTCTTAATCTCGTGAAGGAGCAATTGGAGGGAGCTTTGTGTGCATACAAAAGTAGACGAGCGCAGCTCAGGCGGAGCGCAGGTAAGCCCTCCTAAAAACTACACATAATCTTCGAATCATAAACCTGTTTAGTGTTTACTGTAGCCGGTCCTCTGCGGTTTGCACTCGCAGATGGCGGGAAACCGTCTCATTAATCATCCGGTGGCATCGAGGGCCACTTGTGTTATTGCTAGGGCACAGTTGGCAAATGACTCAAACTGAGAAACAGTTGTTCATGGGTGCTGACAGATTCCCACATGGTTTTTAGCTCACTGTGAACGAAGCGCACTCAGCTAAGGTGCATCTGTTCGGCTGCACCTCTCTCTGACACTATTGTGAGAGCAACGACTATCTCGGAGAAGAACACAGCACGGTTGGATTTCAACTGTTTGGAAATGAGCTAAAACAAATACTCACTTCTGATACGTTCAGGATTAGTCAATTGAAAACAGCTAAAAAAGCTCCTACCTCTATGTTTCGGCACCCTAAGTCTGAGCCGTGCATGAATTTACTAGAAAATTGGCAGTCCAGGCTGTAATCTGGCAGGTTTAGAGAGCTCTCTCTGGTGCAGCGTTCAGCAGGCGTTCAACAGCTCTTGAATAAGACACAGGGGAACAGTATCTCTCTGTATTCTCAACTTGCCAGTCTGTCTGCAGGATCACAGTCTGTGGTGTTGGGTATCACACAGACTAAGCAAACACTTCCTTTATGGCGCTGCTCTCTCTCTTTCTCTCTCTTCCAGTTAATACATCAAAGCAGTAAGCCAACTGGGTGGTATGTACAGGATATTTATGCTTACTGTGATTTAGATGGATCAAAACAGTAGTACGTATTGATCGTGGCTATGAAAGTGGGATTCTACAGTTTTTTGTTAGAAATTTGAATATTTTTATTTACCGAGGAAAGTATACGAAATTAACACTACTTGACTGCAGTTCACCATAGTTTCTTAAACACAATTCTATTTTTAATCTCTCAATTCTCAAATTTCTCATAAAAAAGGATCTCACACGTGCCTCATAATTATATTATTTTAAAATTAAAATAAAATGATGTATTTTTTCATTTTTATATAGAGAGGCATTAACTTTGTAAGAAATGTTTCTTTTGCATTAATACAGTAGTTTAATTCAGAGACAATGTTGGCAAAAGAGTTTTACTGCACTCTAAAAAATGCTGGGTTGTTTCAACCCAAATGTTGGGTTAAAAAATGCAATTAAAAAATATACAGTTGAAAGTGAAAGTTGGGTTAAAATTTTGAATTAGCCTATATACATTTTTAACCCAACATTTGGGTTTGTCCATATTTGACCCAATTTTGGGTTCAAACAACTCAGCATTGTTTAGAGTGTATGGAATAACTGGAATTAGATATAATAATCTTATTTTCTTATCAGTAAATACATCTAACCCTTTTAGTGCATTTCTCTCAGTTTTAAAGCTTTAAACCCAAATACCTTATTTTAAAAAGTGCAAGAATCAAACCATATTTGAGCAAGTCATCTCTTGTGATCATAAACTAATCCATTCACAAAGGATTATGTGGAAAGGCCAGTTCAGGACACAAGCTAAGGACGTATAAATTGCTGTGAGCAAAACGACGGCATTCTCCCACAGTCAGTACAATAGGCAGCAATGCCCTGCATAGAGCGGTTTCATTATTCAGCGCTCAGGTTTCGTTCAGTCGAGGATTAGTGATGGGGATGTAGGCCGGCCGTGCACAAAATGTCTCCTGAAGCCTGTGGGATGTGTTGTACCTCCCGCTTCCGAGAAACCGAACCCCTGGAGCGCCAGTAAAACGATCAGCGGCGTGGAGGACGCTAGAGACTCAGATCCTCAGCTATAAAACAGACTCTTAAAGCGGCTTCACTGATGAGAAAGGGCCCGTTGTGAGTCTTATCGCGGTGGTCAGTCACGACTCTAACGTGTGTGAGAGTTGGGGGCAAAGTGAGTGCTAAAGTTGGATAGTCAAAGTGTTTATTTGAGTTGTGTTGAAAGCTTCAAACAGTCAGCTGTCTGGCTGATCTCTCAGCAGCGCCGATTTCAGCTATACACTATCCCTGACGCGACTCGGGTTACCCAGCGAACAATGCCAACTCTGTTCTTACTGCCTATCTCACAGACTCCGTTGTACTAACATGTATATCTATGTCTGCAACGGACAGGGGATGAACAGATTATACTATGGCCTTGAATAGTTTCGCTCCTACTTTGAAGGTGGCTACAGTGATCATGCCTGTGAAATGCATTCTGGGCTCTGTATAGAATTTAATCTTAACACGTCCTTAACAAGCATTGCAGGAACTTAAAGAACTCTCTATCCAGGCCAGTCACCGCACCTCGGACAAAACTGAAGCAAAGACAGCTCTGTGAATAGCATGCGAGTTATTCCTGGCAGAAACATGTTACGGTTGTGAGTGTTGAGGGAAGCTGTCAACTTTTGACAGCCGAGTGTCGGGCGGACAGATTACACAGCTCCTCAGCGAGCCTTCTCATATTAGCATTAACAACATACGGCCATAACAACAGAGTCAAACATAGCACAGTGCTTATACTGGAGATTATTCAATGAGGAAAAAGCTTTTCAAAATATTGAATATTTAGAATATAAGCTTGGTGTGGTGAGATTATGTGATGTTTTTGAAAGGCTCTTATGCTCACCGAGGATGCAAAGCAGTCTGTGATGGCAAAGCTTAATTTTAGCATCGTTACACCAGTCACATATGCCGATTTGCTGCTCAAGATTCATTTCTTCTTAAAAATCAATGTTGAAAACGTTGTACTGCTTAATATGTTTGTGGAAAGGTTCTTTGCATTATAAATGTCTTTACTGCTATTTCTGATCAATTGAACATGTCTTTGCCGAATAAAAGTATTAAATAGTGTGATTTTTGAGTGTTAAAAAGTTAAATATGACAGTATTATTTTTTTTTTTTAACTTCCCCATGCACATCTCTATCCGGAGAGCAGTATAAAGATTAGAAATGTCATTAATTTCAAGATTTAAATGTCCAAATAATGTTTATTAAGTACCAATTTCAAATCGATTAATATTTGAGAAATTTAATTAAAAAACATTTTATTTTATTTACTTTTTTATTGCTTTAAGTTTATCTGTAACTTAACTGTTGTTTAAGCATTTCCACAGATGCAATGCAAAAACTAAAAAAAGTGTAATTACCGCTGTTTTATGCCCACAAAATTGATCATGTACAATAAAAAAAATGTATACAGTCACATATTATACCAAACTTCAGGTGATACATGTTTCCATTATGATTGAAAAACTGACCATAACTAAAGAATCACCTATATTTCAACAGCCTTGGTGTTAACAGTCTACTCTATAATTATCATCAGAACTGCGCTGTTGCATCTAAATATACACAAATACAAAGGAAGCTGATTAGAAATATGATATGTGTCATTCATTGAAGTTATGCCTAATTAAAAACTGAATTCCGAGAAGCTTCTGGCAGAACACTGAGGGGAAAAAGAACAGGACCATGAAAGCGGTCTAATCCCCCTATGATTGAGACAAGCGTCCTTTAACTCAATTGCATTAAGATGGCTTAAGGTTTAATAGGCTTCCCAAAACACTGCTGCACTGTGTGCTCACATCCTTTCTGTTACCTTTGCAAGCCAATCATGCTGCTAATTGCAGCAAAATACAAGTCTAAAAATATCTTTCACAAAACGCCAAAATCAGTTTGCACACATAGAGCGCAGCCTCCTGTACACACCGGCAGTCAGAAAAAAATTGTCGGTCAAATATGGACAAACTCAAACATTGGGTTAAAAATGTAATAATAAAAAAAAAGTAACCCAATGGCTGGGTTTATCCATTATTTGACCCAAATCTGGGTTAAAACAACCCAGCATTTTTCGAGTGAAGGCTGTGACCCATCAGTCCGGTAAGACTCCAGCCCAGTGCTGGTGGCCAGACCTTGGCCCCTGCAGACATATGTGCTAGACAGGAGCCTCCAGAGCACCCACTCAAGACGTAAATTCCATTATCTATTGCTGACCCTATGACAGTAATTCTTAAGTGCCTCTGATTTGATTTCAGTAAGCTTAAGTAGCAAAAACTGCATGAAGTAAATGGTGATGAGTGATATAGAGACAACCAATTGTGGTTTTCATGACTGAAAATTGTAAGTGTGCCAATAAAAATAAATGCAAGGTCTGAGTGTCTTGTTAAATAAATCAGCAAGGCTAAAGTGTTTTTGGCCAGTTTGGCTGTGGAGTGTCCAATCCTCTATCCAATTAAGTGGAAGATTACCAGCACATACTTCGCCTGAACGTACCCACCTCCTAAGAAGTTATCAAGAGGCTAATTGGCTCTAAGGGTATTGTGTTTTACATCCTTGTACTCAATCCAGGGGATTTCTTCTCATCATGCCATCTGCCCAATACAAACTAACATGTCTTCTATATCTTTTGTATCGCAATTCATCTTATTACAGAAAAGACATGATGTTGTGAACCTTCAAATCTTTCTTAGCCTGGGAAAAAAGCCATGAACTTCACCCGTCAAAGGTCCAAAGCAATAAAATGAGAATATAGAAGTTTAAAATCTAGATTGTTTATATCTTTTTGTGCTGAGGTTTGTATTTATAACAATATAATGTGATCTAACTGAATGCACCAGGATTTCATCTACATAAGTCAAGCTGATTCATTGCCAATAAAAAAAGCTGAACACAATTCTATTATTAATGAGAAGTCAACCTCATTATACAAATGCCCACTAGAGGTACCCAGAGAATTCTGTCTCATTGGAGTAAGAACTGATGTGATGACAATATCATCATCAGATAATTGAGTCTATCTATCAAAGCTATCAAGAGGTGTTAGATATAACGTTTGCTAATGAATTCTCATCCAGGGAAGGCAAATAAACACAAAACTAAGGCATAATGTGCATGTTATAAAATTTGACCAATGGAATAAAGAGGTTTACATACCTTCATTTGGAGGAGGGAATGTCTCTGTTTGTCAGAGCAACCTGCAATATTAATAAGTTTCAGTAAAAATGATCCATTAGCCAACACATATTTTAACCACAAGATGACACTGTTTCACCACTGCAAAACATGACAAGCTCCTTCACTGTTTAAAAGACCCAATGCTTTCAAAGGGAACACACTACAGTACAAATAATATATTTTTTCCATGCTTCACAACAAGAAACAAAGACATAGATACATTGAAATCAAAAGGAATAATTTTAATAATCAAGTTTGTTGTAGTGATCTATCAATTTCTCTCTAGGCAGTTGTCATCTAAATGCACAACAAGACGCACAACCAACCCAAAATCATCAAATCTCAAGACCTTAACATTTTATTAGACACTTACCCAAAATGCCAATGAAAAGATGAGACGAGAAGGACGATAATCTCTCTGGTCCTTCTCAGTTTAATCCAAATGTATTTTTCAACTATCCAATGCTTTTTAGAATACAGTTGGAGTGATAAAAAGTTGCTTTGTGGCATGTATAAAAGAAAAAGATCGGTCCTTCCAAAATCTAGGAGCTCTGACAAAGTGTTTTTCTTCTACACTTTGAATGTCAGAGCACGTATGATGTTCAATCCTGAACCAATCCTTTCCAGAGACTGAATCGGTATCCAGTAAAATCCTCCAAACAGAGTAAACATTAGGCTTTGAGTTCCTTCACTACCAACAGATTAAACGCAAATCCACCCGAAACAGGTTTGTGATCCTCCAGGAGATCCTTTCCAGAGCGTGTCCGGCTCAAGAATGCCCTCTCAGTGGCGAACCGTGCATTCCTGTGATCCCTCCCTCGGCGGACACTCCCACCGCCTCCCACACCTCCCTCCTCAGCCCTGACAGCAGCAGCACCCCAGCGGAAGAACAATTACAACTCTCCTCCTCTCTGCTCAACACGTACCTATAGACAGTCTAGTGATTATGGCCATCTTCTTAATTACAGGCCCAGAATAACCAGAGGGGACAGGCGACGGGTCAAGAATGCTGATGAGACAGTTCCACCTCACACCGAAATGAGACTTCGCTCTCATTGGGTGACGGCGTCGACTCCAATTAAAGCTGCTGTGCTGGTATGCCACCCCGCTTCTTTGTAGGGTGAGAGAAGGATAATATGATTAAATGCAGTGGTTGCATTTGTACCCGTCATAGCTTATTATAAACGCGTCAAATAAACGTGAATGTCATGCACATGGTCTTGTGGAATTCTTAGAGATCAACCAATCGCAGAGCTCCTCATCAGACAGGGGGCTGTAAATGTCAGCGGGAAAAGGGCATGGCGAGATGATAAATCACAAGGCCGGGTATTATCACAACAGATATATCACATAATTTATTAGAACCGTCAACACCCCCGTGGGAGGAGGCAGATGAAAGCTCCCTGCACTCTTCCGTTGCTAATGCGGTGTCCTCTCTGAACCGGGGATGGGCTCTCTGGGGGAGATAGCACAAGACTTCAAAGTCCATGGCCTGCCAAGACCGCGGGGAGGTCTCATTCAGTTGCTGCCCCTGACGGCCCTGAGGGAGTTTCTAATTGCATTTCACAGGCCCTGAACAAAACAAGGCCTTGTTCAAGCTGAAGTTGGTCCTCCTGCTGGGACGTAGCTGTGATTTGCGACTCAGCGGGACGTGGATCTTCAGCGTGCCAGCACCGCTGAGAAAAACAGTTTCAGCTTCCTTCTTCTGACTGCACGCACTGGGACGCCGATTGGCAGATGAATATGCGAGTGGCCGCGACACCTTCCTTCTCCTCGGAGGGTGTTCGATCTGTGGGACAGGAGGCAGATGTGTGGGCTCAAGTTGAAAAATTAATACAGACCTACAAAAGAGAGTAAATCATATGCAGGTCATCCAATATCATCAAACAGAAGAAGATTAGGGGGTTTTCTTTTCATAATTTATGAGCTCAAAATAACAGCCAATGTACTTTCAACTGGGTCTAGCTGAGCCTGATGTTATTGCTTTATTTTACTATCCTGATTCATTTTTTGCAGACATGCAACATGCATTTGACATTGTATGAACCAGGACATTGTATTTCAGAGTTTGCATAAAAGCAAAGCTATATGGCACCTTTGTATGTGATATTTTGAGAAGTCACATACATTTACTGCTCTATAATTACTAAAAATGTGTTGTTAAATCTGACTGCAACCCCAAACTATAACCAAAGATTCATTTATAATATAGATTTTTCTTTGCATCACATGCGTGTTAAATGCAGATGTCCAAAAAGACTTTTGGAAACTGCAGTTTATACAGACACTAATTTGAACTACTGTACAATATATTTTCAATTCTTGTGCGAATAGTTTAGGACTGGTAATTTGATCCATATCTGAATATTTAACAGCTTTTTTGATTTTGTGGCCAAATAATAACAGCGGTTATAACATTCATTTCCCCAAAAACTGAACTTTGTTCATAATGTGAATTTAAATCACTGCATTATTTTTCATAATCTTCTGTCATAATCTCATTAATACAAAAGTGAATGGTTTGACCAATATTTTAACAGTGCCATCACAGCATCAAAAACCATAATCATATATTACCAGCGCACAGCACGTACGACTAACACAAAATAGTAAATCACAGCTAAATTGTATCATCATCATCATCATCATCAAAGGCAGAAAATCTGAGTCAGATGTGATTACTGAAAATGAGCTGTGCAACGAGGGCTTTTATTAACTCCGTGCTCATTCTAATAAGTCCATTTGAAATCATTTTGTGTAATTATGACAAAGAATCGGTTTATGAGAGCACATATACATCTGTCCCAGCTTTAGCCATACCCCAAGGCCCTAAAAAACAAAGATATCGAATGAAGAATGAGCACATGGAAGTTTTCCTTCTGTCTTCTTTTAAACATCGAAAGATTCTTGCAGACTCTCCTCAAAGGCAAAGTCATTAGTGCAGACTTGGCCTGATTGTTTTCACTGATTTTCTGTCTGAAGGAGGAGTAAATTGATCCCTCGGCCCTTCAGCTTCGGTCTGGCTATTAATTTCAAAGAGCAGGTTTGGCCTGATGGCCCTTTGAGAGAAAGCTGATTTAACTAGATCATTTTTAATGGGGATGGATTCCTCCATACTTGCCCTTTGGATATTGCTTCTGTCCTCCATAACCACTGGTCTGTAATGGCAAGCTCCTTCTGAGACTATTACTAAGGGCCAATTGGCCTTGAAATGAAATACATAATCTTAATGTACCCGAAGATGTGCGATCCATTCGCTTGTGGAGTGGAATGACTCAAGACTGCAGGAGTTTTTAGTCCATAAGGAGAAATGCTGCAAGAAACCGCCTATTCCACGCTGTCAGATCAAGGTAGCCTTCGCGAGCAGGCGTACGCAAACTCGCATGACAGCCGCTGCTATTTCCAGGGAGAGATAATCAAAGGCATTTGACTTGTGAGGGCCATGGCGAAATACCAATATTCTTGGATTTCAAAGAGCGTCTAACTATTGAATAGGGTTCCCATACACCCTTTCATTGGGATGACACAATGTTGCATCTGCTCGGCAAGGGATAAATTAAGCATGTGAAAGTTTTAGTGAAATCCCCATTTTCCAGTTAATCAAATCTCCCCTAATCAAATTAGGAGCTGTAATTCCCCAGGATGCGTGTGACAAAAGTGTATTATTCCTGCCTTTGGGGCAGCAAAAGAGAAATCAGCGTGAGGCCATTCCCCTCTGCTTCAGTGGCCCTGAATTGAATTGCTCTTCCGACTGACCCGAGCGCAAGAGGCAGGGTCGAGGTAAACTTTGGCAGTGTTTGAGTTCCCAGCTCATTAAAGAGCTGCCTCTGAGGCCACCTCCAGAGACTGTTGAGCCATTCATTAATGAGGCACTTGTGTAATTTTCCCTGGACATCTGTGACGAACAGGCTCTCTTCCCAATGCCGCACAAAAAAACACCTCAGACAATAAAGCTCACAATCACGGCTTAGGGAAACATCCACAGTTACTCGTAGTTACTTGTCATGAGGGCATGCATATGAAATAATCTTCAATCTTATGAAACTGCAGCGATCACCTGTGAGCAATGCACAAGGACGTATTTTCCACTGAATGAGAAGTCTTGAGATTTGATTGAAGATCTTTAGCAGAGCTGGCACATACAGGGAGCACAGAAAGTGCCCTTTTATACTCGCTTAGCAGGGCGGTAAATAGGCCCATGGAGCATTCAGATGCCACTTATGAAGTGCTCATAACCAATGTGTACCTCACGGCTTTGCACAACAGCTTCCTTCCAAACCAATTCATATGGCAGCTAATGAATACGCCACTTTAGACTTCATGAATTGTCCCTTTCCGTTCACTGCCCCCAGTGTTAACACCTCTTTATACGATTCTTAACACCTACTGCACTGCCTCTCAAGGTCACTCTGGCTGAACGGAGAGCTGGAGAAAGCCGCACAAAACCTGAGAGGCTCAATTCCTATTCATTTGTCACATTTGCATGCATGCCTCTATACTCAATCACACAAAGGCCACGGTAGCTTAGCCATTGCCCCCTACCAATTACAAATGAGTCCATTAAGCTGTCTGCATTGGGCCCAGCCTCTTCATGGTAATGGCTTGTGAGATTTCCATCATAATCGTCGGGCTCCCACTGCAGTCATGAGTGCAGATGGAGGAGGAGAGTGGCTAAAGAGCTATCAAACGGGGCAGAGTGCATTCTTTCAGCTTTGTTTACGCGCAGGCCAACTCAAAAGCCCGTGCTTTCTTTAAGAGAAAAGAGTCTTTAAAGATTATTACAAAATTCTTGGGCGGTTTAGGAAGCTGCATGTGCAAAAACAGTGGCCTTGATACTGATAAACTGATCACTATTTTCCTATAATGATTGATTGATAACCAATAAATAACATTTAAATTCAAAACTATTTAGTCTAAATAAAGACTCAAGTGAATTTAAGCATCACAACAATATAATGTACAGTATGAAGAATGGATATTCATTTTGATGAAGATTACATTTAACAGTGTTAATAAATTATTAGTGTTTTTAAAGATCATCTTAAAGTGAGACTATGGCAAAAGTAATCGAAATATAAATAGGCAAAATGTACAAATAAATCCAATATCGACCAATTAGATATGCTTAAAAATCTTTAATATTGGCCAGCATATTGTACATCACCAAAAAATGTTAAGTACTAGTGCTACTGCTAATGCAATTTTATCTTGAATAATAACTTACAGTTTCAATGTCAATACCAAAACAAAACCTAATAATCCAGATTATCCTCATTAGTCATAAGTACAAATAATTCTTTATCATTTTTATGTACTTTTTTAGATTTTCTCTCAAAATCAGGACATTGTAGAAATGTGGGTAACACTGAAGCAGATGGGATCTTTCTTGTGGCATCAAATAATTTTCCTCTTTGGATTCAAAATTAAATGGCAGGGGGTGATTTACGCACCTTCTCTATTAGCATTCTTGGAAGAATAATGTGAACAGCTTTTATTACATGCTGGTTGTTACTCTGACACATAATTAACAAAGTCTGTTAACGTCTAAAGGGAAATAACAAATCATTTAGACCAGACAATCAATCCCATAAACATGCATTTATCAAGCTCATTTGTGAAGCCTGACCTAGTTCTTTCAAGTCATATAACATGACAACTATAAAAGTCTATCCATAGCTCATGAAAGGTCTCAGCATTTAAAAGTACTCATGGCCCTTACATTTCATTACATGATTTCATATAAATATTAGCAAGCTAGACAAATCCAGCTGCCTGTGAGTTTTTACAAGTTTACTAGAAGTTGTTAGACGATTTGTTATT